CCTTCCAGTGAAGCACTCCTCATGGTACCACTCCTTCTGTCCTGAAACTCTCCAACTCAAAAACATCTGCTCCCCACCTCAGCCAAACTCACTGGCCATCTTCGGTCCTTTATTAGATGCTCCTCCCCTGCCAGACACGTTCAAGGCTGCGTGCCAGCTCTTCCCCAGCACCCCTGCCCAGGAACCCCATGTGGCCCATTTGGTTTCTTCCATGTGCCCTCCATCCAAAGCCCATCTCCACCCTTGGCCTCCCTCCATCCTGTGTACTCAATGTCTCCACTTAGGTGTCTGGTGGACATCACAAGCCAGGGGTGATTCTCACCCCCAAACGCACTGTCACTGTACTTGTTACCACTTCCAGGCACCCCACTGATTAGGCAAAAAATATAGAAGTCACCCTCGATTTATTTCTTTTTCTGTCATCCCACTTCCACTCAATCAGATCCATGACTCTAATTCGAATTCCTATTTCCACGTGGGTCATTTTCCCCACCAACCGAACCCTGGCACCCTCATTTCATCCTTAACCCGACTTGGGCAGCAGACCTAACTCGCCTCGCCATTTCCACGCGGAGCGCCTGGCCGAAGCCTTTAAGACTCCGCCTGACCTCCCTTCTGCAGCTCTGCTCTAGGCTCGGGCATTTGCCAGCGACCCGACAGCGCGATCCTGACCGTCTCGCTCAGCGCGCGCACCAGCCCGCGGACCGCCCGGAGCCTGCATTGCGGAAGCCAGAGAGATTTCGGAAAGAGGGTGCCGAACTCCAGGGGCGGGGGATGTTGTAGAGTTTTGGCCACGCCCCCCTCTGTGGGCGCGCCCCCTCTGTCCCCATTCTGCCCGAAGTGAACCACGGAGCCTCCTGGGAGATGTAGTTTCCACCCTTCGACTTCCCTTTCTCCAAGGCCGCTGCTGGCCAAGCCGGGACTGCGATTCCCAGAAACCTCCCCGGTCCGAAAGCCGCGCCCCCTCCGCCGAGGGCTGGAAGTCCTGGTGTCCGGCGGTGTCAACTGAGTTCAGTGACCACCCCTACTCCCATCCCCACCAGGTGGCCTGTGTTCTCTCAGCCACCGGGAGAGGAAGCCATAAAGGCTAGTGCCCTGCAGCACCGGTCCTCCGCAGCTGGAGCCGCACATCTGCGCTGGCTCCAGCCCAGGGCCCCTGGGATGGGTCCCCTGTCGGACCCGAGCCACCAACCGCGGGGTACAGGCGGCCTGCACGTCGCGGTGGTAAAAGCTCCCCAGAGGTTCGAAAGCCAACAGCGGCTGATGTCGAGGAAGGAGAGGGTTGTTTCAGGCAAGTTTCTCGAGGAGGGAACACGTAAAAAGTGAATAACCGTGAACTAATCCCTGTCTTAAGTGAATGAAGTATAGTTTTCTGGTAAATTTATTTTCATGGTTCAAAATTTCAGAAAATGTGAAAAGTCAAATCATTTGCGGAAAGTCAAATATATTCATAAGTAAAATTTGTATTGCTCACAGGAAACGCTAGGAACCAGGGGACTGGGCCACAGTCAAGGGAGGGGCTGTGGGAGGTGGGACATCCCTATACAGGTGAGAACATAGAGGGCCACATAAACATGGCAGGGAGTTTGGATTTTATTTAAAGTGAACGGAAAGCAATTGAAGGACTTGAAGTAGGGGAGGGCAATGGGCTGAGTTAGGTTTTCAAAATATCCCTCTTTTTTTTTTCCTGGAAAATCAACTGTAGGAGGACAAGAGTCTAAGAGAGAGGAGGTGGTCTCGTGCATAGTACGGAAATACGGTGGCAGAAAGGGATGTGGAGGTTTTGAGGTGAACAGGCAAGGCCTACTGAATAGGATGTCTGGGAGGAGGCAAAGGCAGGAATCAAGGGTGTTGCCTAGGTTTTGGCAGGAGCCCCTGGGTGGATGGTGATTTGAGAAAGGCTGGGGAGAACGGGATTTGGGGGAGAGAGCAGGAGTTGTAGTTGGCACAGATTTAATTTGAGATGCCTATTAGACATCCAAGTGGGGATGTTGGTAGTTCCCAGAAGAGTCATGAAAGAGATATGCACAAATGTGTCATTAGAATACAATTGTATTTAAGGCCAGAGAAGTCGTAAAGATAACCTTGGAAGAGAATAAATGGAGGAGGCTCTAGGAAAATATGCCCTGGGGCACAGCACATTTAGATAAAAAGGAGCCAATAAATTGAATCTGGAAACAGTTCAAAGTGGGCCTAATGTGAAGGGGGGTGGCAGAGCACAAGGCCTCTAGGGCTCTTTCTGCTGTGACAATAGCTGGGTCTATAATTCTGTGAAATGACTACAGATACCAAACAGGATGGAAGCAGGAAAGGGTGCACCCCACCCTGCCTTTTTGGAACACTGAGATTTTCTCACTGCAAAAAATGGCTCCCCCGTTGAGCTAAACACTGGTGAAATGATTCCACCTTAACTGTCTCACCCACCTAACTAGCTCCTCTCTGTCCCTTACAGAGGCATGGCAGCCCCATATCCATGCCTTTGTGCTCCACCCTCCACCCTAAAGGAAGCCCTGGTAGTGAAAGGAATTTCAGAGACAGGACAGGCAGTTTTAGGGAAAAGGGGGTTCATGGGAGAGGAATGCATATGTGAAGGACAGAGGTAGCTCCAAGACACCAGAATGCTTACCTTACTTTCAGAGAGGATAGAGGAGGATAGAGAAATGTTACAAGAGGAAGACATACTTTCACAGAGGATAGAGAAATGTTACAGAAGATATAGGAATGTTGCAAGATGAGGGGGAGAGAAAAAGGGGGCACCACGTGGGCTTTGACCTTTGAAACTGATACTCTGCAGAATGACCAGTTAGGAAAGCACGGGGGTCATAAATGGGGAAGGGGTCCAATTAGAAGGGAGCATAGATAAAGAACTTCCAGCCTTTAAAACAAACCTTAGACAAAGGGGCTTAGTTGGTTACCAGAATGAGAACCCCGTTCTATGTGGGAATATATATTTGCTTCCAATAAATTTCCACACTTTTACTAACAAGTCCTTTTAGTCTGAGAATTTTATTCTTTAAACTTCATGAGGCAAGAACCCACAAGGAGGAGAGTCTGGGCCATGAACTCCACATATCATAGGAGGTTCTGGGGGTGTCCAGCCCAAGTGCCCTCAGAGTTGACAATTTCTTTGCATTCCTGCAAACACACACACACACACACACACACACACACACACACACATCCCATGTATTATGAGGTTTTTCCACTCTAGTTAGTGGATATAGGAACCATTCCTGATAATAGACTTTTTACTCCAGTGCTAATGGGATCTCTCCTGACGACTCCAGGGGAACCCCCTGCAGATCTAAGAAAGGAAGCATTACTTTCCTCACAAGCTGTTGAGAGGTTCGATAAAATTAACGTTTGCAAAACACCTAACCAGTGTCTGGCCCCAAACTGTCACTGACCATGAAAGAACGTCCAGCCCTTAGAAAAGTCGTAGAACTTTCATTTGAGCCAACTTTTGAGGACATGCCCGGAAGTGAAATCTTACGGGACTGAGATAATGCTCTGGGTAAGGGCAGCTTTGCAGTCTGTGTTTTAGACATTACAATCAAAGGAGGAAGCATAAGGGGAGCAACGTGACATCATTGGTGGTAGATGGGGGAGGCAGGAGAAGGCAAAGCAGGGGAAACTCTGAGATTGGATGAAAAGTAACATGGAGAGACACATACTTCATGTACACATACTTCAATCAACATGTTCAGCACACGGGGATGGTATGTGTGGGGAACCAATCTCCAGTGGGAGCCTGTGCCCTGAGGGTCGGGGAGAAGGTCTGCCCGGGTATATAATCCCGAAGGTGTATTATCACTGTCATCGATGCAGAAAGACGGCGGACAGGCTCAGTTGGGGTCAAGATTGACGTCTGTCAAGAAGATACCCACCTAGGAAGTTTTGCTTTCAGGCCACCCCGTGTGGTCACTTAGGTCTGAGTTTATGGGGCCCCCGCGCAGTCCTCCCCGGGGCTGGGCAGGGGTAGTGGGCTGCCCCTTCCAGTCCACACTCGGCGGAGAACAGAGAGGTCCGGCTGTTCGCGCCCGGCCCTCCCTGGGCACAGGCTGCTTTCCTGGGACATCACGTCCTTCTGTCCCGCTCCCTGCACCTGCCTCCCCGCACCTGCCATAAGGGTGTGGGCAGAGCGGGGATGCCTCCTGTCCGTCTGGCATCTTAGGTGGTTTCAGTCCTAACGCACCGGGCCGCTCCCTTCAGCCTCGGTTTCTCCAGCTCTACAATGAATGATCTAGGGACGGACGTCCGCCCCCCAGTGGGAGTGGGAGGGTGACGGGGCGGACGCCTGTGAAAAGCTCCACGGAGCCTTCCCAGACATCAGGGCTCACTACAGTTGCCCTGGAGCTTAGACATTTCTCTCTGGACAGGCTTTTTTAGAACGGATGCCCGGGCTACAGCACAGCAGGAGAGGCCGGGACTCCCCGGGAAAGATGGCGGCCTCAGCATCAGGGCCGCGGCCCTAGAGTCCTGTGCGCGTGCGCCCGGCCCGGCCCCCCCGCCGCC